CCTCTCTGTTTTTCAGTTCCTACTGGAAACAATCTAAAACACAGTTCTGAAACACGAAACTTGCTTCACACTTAATCAGATTTCTGGTTCAGAAAACACAGAAGTTACAGTGGTTTTAGGGGAAAAAAATAAGAGAGCGCTGAGATGCTGATAGGACTTGTAAGAACCCAGTTGACTTTTTGGAAGCATGGAATTACTCATCTGCACAAGCATTATTCCAAAGCAACCCTATTCCACACCTTGCCATTATATCATCTCATTTATTTTACAAACAACCTTAAAATGGATCCTAAATGATTGAAAATCTAACATTTCTCTTTGAAACATTCTGAGAATTACTGATCTTAAATAAATGTGACTTATTCTTTACCCTTTGAGCCAATGCTTTTATTTATTTATTTATTAAAAGAAGAAGAAGAAGAAGAAGAAGAAGAAGAAGAAGAAGAAGAAGAAGAAGAAGAAGAAGAAGAAGAAGAAGAACTCTACTGTCACCAAGATTATCTGAGTATCAGTTTCAACCATCTGCAAGTACCTTCTAGACTGCAGTTCCTACAGTCTTTGAGGACACAACTTTTAAGTAGCTGGTGTTCATTGTTTAGATGCAAGGAACTGACTTTGATTTGATGAGGCTTGCCAAGGTGGAGCATTTAAACTCCTGGTACATCCAAGGAAAGTTGAATAACCTACTGTTCTGTAGTTAATATCTGAATAAGCAGCTCTTGAATACTACTGTGTGTTCAGAGTCACAGCCATGCCAGCAACTAAGCACCCAGTCTCTGCCTCTAAGTAAGCTTCAACTTTGTTGTGATTAACATCACCACTCCATGCAAAAAACAGTCCCTAAGCCTGACATCTAAAACAGTCCCTAAGCCTGACATCTGTCCTTTACACTGCCACCCCAGTCTTAACATTTCCCAACTCCCATGCCTGCCGGCTCTTTAGATGCTGAAAGAAAATGAAGGAAGCAGTTGTAGACAAAAAGTTCCTAAACAGAAGTATTGTGCAATGTCAAAAGCTGTGCTGTAGCTGATTTTGAAAGTTTTAGTTTTCATATTGCTCACTCTAAGAGGATTATTTTTATTTCTCATTAGTTCAATGGAAAAATATGACAACAGGAAGCTTCCTGTGCCTGAACTGAATGTTCACAATCTCTTGCAGTGTCATATAAACAAGCAGAGCGTGGGTTGTATAGAAGGAGAGTACATGTGTTTAAATAGTAGTTACGGTATGTGACATATGCGCATATACATTAGAAAATTAATAGAGCAATTCAAGTCTCAATTTGGGGTCATTGCAGGAATGACGAGTTGTTTCTAAAAGTGTTTCCAGATTTCAAGGGTGGTGTATAATAAGCACTACTTGTGCTTTGGGAAGACTCATGAGACAATGACAATTGAAACAAACAAAGTTATGACAACCTTCCCAACCACTATGAAGAGTATCACCATGCTAGAAAATAAGAAGACCCAAATCCAGTCAAAATCACAAAGAATAGAATTTTTCTGTACTGAACTCATTTCCAAAATGAAAGTATACCAATATGACCTGTGAGAAGAATTCTTAACTGCAGAGTTGATATCTAAGGTTGAATGCAGGCGCTGTCATTCATCTGCCAATGGCCTTAGACAAATAACTTCACCTGCTGAGTTTCAGTTTTCAAATTTGTACGATGGGCCTAAAATTATCTGCCCCTAGGGATTATTGTAAAAATTCAACTAGGCGACATATATAAAGCTTTTGGCACCAAGAATGTGTATAAAAACCTATAGTGTTTTGGGGCTGGAGCAATAGCACAGTGGGTAGGGCATTTGTCTTGCACACAGCCGACCCGGGTTCAATTTCCAGCATCCCATATGGTCTCCTGAGCACCACCAGGGGTGGTTCCTGAGTGCAGAGCCAGGAGTAACCCCCGTGCATCACCAGGTGTGACCCAAAATGCAAAAACAAACAAACAAACAAAAAAACCCTATAGTGTTTCTCTCCTAACCACTCCTTTAACAAAAACATGCTGTAATTGGGTTTGGATGATTTGGAGGGTTTATTTTTGTTGTTTGTATGGGGAGGGGTATATGGTTTTAAAGAAATAACTCTTGAATCTTTGCACCTATGTTTATAATATAAGATTTACATTGATTAATCACTATTTAGTTCATAATCTCACACTGCATTCTCACAGCAGTAAATCATCTGTCCACATACAGTGGTTGCATGTTTGCCTCAATTGGAACACTCATCGGAAAATCTAGCAGATTTCAGTGCAAGAATTTAGCTTGAACAGTCTAGGGTACATGCTTTGCATGTAGGAGCCCTAGTTCAATCCTAACACTTCAATGGACCCCAAGTGTTACTGGAAGACACTGCTGGAAGCAACCCTCTGAGCACTGAGCCAGGAGTAGCCTCCCAAGCATTGTCTGGTATTACATCAAAACAAAATAATTAGAACAGAATTCAAATAACAAGTTGGTAACTCTGTAGCACTATCCTCCGTTGTTCATCGATTTGCTTGAGCAGCCACCAGTAATGTCTCACAACAAACTGTGGGACTTGTTGTTACTGTTTTTGGAATATTAAATACTCCACAGGTAGCTTGCCAGGCTTTGCCATGCGGGCAAGATACTCTTGGTAGCTTGCCAGGCTCTCCGAGAGGGGCGGAGGAATTGATCACAGGTCGGCTGTGTACAAGGCAAACGCCCTACCTGCTGTGCTATCACTCCAGCCCAACAAGTTGGCAACAACGATATCAGAAAAGCTCATTTTCTACAAGGCAGCATCATTGTCTGCCTTTATTTCTATGTGCATGATTTTTAAATGCAAAACCCGATTTTATAAAAGCAAAACAAAAATCCATTAAGGACAATGAAAAGTCATTCATTCATTAATAAGTGTTAGTCCCTGTAATGGGCTGGAGGAATAGCACAGCGGGTAGGGCTTTTGCCTTGCACACAGCCAACCCGGGTTCGATTCCTCCGTCCCTCTCAGAGAGCCTAGCAAGCTACCAAGAGTGTCCCGCCCATTCGGCAGAGCCTGGCAAACTCCCCATGGCGTATTCGACATGCCAAAAACAGTAACAATAAGTCTCACAATGGAGATGTTACTGGTGCCCGCTGGAGCAAATCGATGAACAACGGGAGGACAGTGCTTCGGTGCTAGAGTGCAGTCCCTGTAATATGTCATGCACTATTTTAGTGTCTGAGAATTTAGAGAATCAAACAAGGACTTTGCCTCCAGTAACTCCAGAACTAGCCTTGAACTCTGTTGGGGACACACCCAAGAGTGCCCTGGGCTTCTCCTGGCTCTGAGCTCAGGGATCACTCCTGTTTGTGCATGGGGACCATATGTGATACTGGAAATCAAACCAGGGTCAGACCCATGCAAGGCAAGTGCCTTTCCTCTGTACTATCTTTCTAGTTTTTTTCCTCTGTACTCTCTTTCCTGGCCCTGAACTAATGAATACTAGTGGGACTTCATGATGAAGTCAGCGACTTTAAAGCAAATGAGACTTGGCACTTGGAGAAGAGAAACCCATGTGTTAAAATATATATATATATTCTCTAGCCGAGATAAATACCAGGAAGTTCACTCCATGGCTTGGAGGCCAGCTGCACATGCTAGGGGAAAAGGCAGCTCAGATAGAGAAGGGAGCACCAAATAAAGAGTATTGGGAGGATCCTCCCAGGATGGGAGATGCATGCTGAAAGTAGACTAGAGACCTAACATGATTGCCACTCAATGCCTCTTTTGCAAACCACAGCACCCAAAAGGAGAGAGAGAACAAAAGGGAATGCCCTGCCACAGAGGCAAGGGGGGATGGGGGGATGGGGGGTGGGAGGGATACTGAGATCCGTGGTGGTGGTGGAAAATGGGCACTGATGGAGGGATGGGTACTCGATCATTGTATAATTGAAAACAAGCACAAAAATTTGTAAGTCTACAACTGTACTTCATGGTGTTTCACTAATAAAAATTTTTACATATATATATATTCTCAGGACAAAGCAATAGTGAGAATTTAGGCCTCTTGCCTTACATGTGGCCAACCTGGGTCCAATCCCTGGCACCATATATGGTCCCCTGGCACCACATATGGCACCATATTTGATCACTCCACTGGGAGTGATCCCTGTGTGCGAAGCCAGGAGTAAGCCCTGAGCACTGTTAGGTGAGGTCCAAAAACAAACAACCTCCTCTCCAAAAAAAATCCATAGGATAGAATTATTCTCTTGAGTTCAGTTCGCTAATTCCAGTGGGCCAAATCAAAATTTAAGACCTACTGAAAAGCATTGAGCACTTCTGAATCTCATAAATATTCACATGTGGCATAACTCTGTAGACTAGCATTCTTTTTCACATAAAACCAATTTCTTGAAATAACCTCAAGAGTGTCTCTGGAAGTTCACTACAAGAGGACATTGAAGCTTGAACGCAGACCCGAATTTCATGAGTTAAAATCTGGAAATGGTGGAGAGGGGGGTTAGCATTGTGATCCCAGTGCTCTCACACACTTCAAACTATAAACTCAGTTCCGTGCTTAATCAAAGATATGTACACTTCTCTTGATTTGGCTTCCTCATCTATAAAACAAGGAGGACAAAGACACACATCAGAGTAGACTGACTGCTACAGCGAACAACCCAAAATCACAGAGACCTGACATACCCCTGGGTTACTTTATCCAACCCCACTCCATGCACCTTCCAGGGAGCATTCAGCAATCTGGAGGGTTGTTTGTGTGCATTGATTGTCCATTTTTTCTATCCCAATGCATTTTCCCCAAGAGCAGAAACCCTCTTTATCTTTTTCACTATAGTATTCTCTGGTCACCAAGTCCAAGCTCCGTATTTACCTGTTGTATGCGTGACTTAAGGAGGAGCAGCAGGCGTCTGTGGTGATCCAGCAGGCCGTCCAGGATGGAGAGCAGTGTGAGCGCCATTTTTCTGCCTGCAGTCAGTCTTCCTGCTGGCCAGTGCTCATCTCTGCCCCCTCTGATTGTGGTTTTGTAGGGAATGACGCCACTCCACTGGGCTGCTTTCCACAACCAGCCTCAACACACACAAATGCTGCTGAAGAAGGGAGCAGACCCCACCCTTGTGGATAAAGACTTTAAAACGGCTCTCCACTGGGCAGTCCAGGTGAGGACTTGTCTTGACTTGTCTCTTCTTTGAGGGTGTAAGGCCCAGTGAGTGGCGCTCAGTGGGGTCGGACCTGCATGACGGGGTATTGCAAATACTGTCACAGAGTTGCCCGGAAGTCTGCCCAGATGACAGAGGCAGAATGATGCACTCTGCCCTCCTCTGCTCTGTTGCTGTTCCTGCCACTCAGGAAGATATGGCACCACCCACTGGGCTGTTTATTTTGATTTGAGGGGAGGTAGAGTTGACTGGTAAGGGGGTGGGCACAGCCTGTCATGCTCAAGGGCTGCTCCTGGCTCTGTGCTTGTGGGTTGCTCCTGCGGTTCTCAGGAGACTGTGTGGTGCTGGGGATAGAAGCACCCAGGCCTCCTGCATGCAAAGCTTGTGCTCAGCCCATTGAGCTCTCACGGTGTCCCTGCACCCATTGTTGGAGAAGATACAAGGGTTGGGGGGGAGGCGTTGTAGCAGAACTCACTTTGACTCTCTCTCTCTCTAACAGACACACACATAGACACACAGACACGCACACACACAAAGACACACACCACACACACACACACACACACACACACACACACACACACACACACACACCCTTCCCAGTCTCTCTCCATCTCAGGGCTTCCTGCTTGCTCACTATGTCCCCAGAGAAACCTTCAAAGACTTATTAGTAAAATAGCTTCAAAGTCTGTGGACTTTGATTTCTTTCAAACACTCCATGACAGAATGATCCCCAGTGGCCTTGAATTCTGTGCTGACCTGTGAAACTCACGGCCCATGGCCCTACCTAGCTGTGAGGAAAGGGACTCATTTCCCCAGGCACAGTCACCAAAGTGAGAACAGGCCCCAGAAACCTGTCATCCCGAGAGAGCAAAAGTGAGCATCTGTTGAAAGGATGGTCCTGGCCAACATGTACTTCAGTGCTTTCTGTCTTCAAGGGGGAGACATCTGTGTGTGATCTTCCATCCCTCAGAGGAGAGTGCTACAGTGCAGCCTTTAATCATCCTCACACACTCCGACCTCCAACATGTGAGCCCAGACAGACACTCATTCCTTCACATCTGCCCACTGAGGGAGCCTTCTGAGCTGCTGTGTGGAGCCCGGAAGAGAAGTGTCTTCTCCACGCTGCTGACTGTTTCTCTAGACTGTTTTCATGTACCACACACAAGAGAGTCAGGCACCTGGCACTTTCGGGGTTGACATTTGTGCCTGAGGTGGGGGAAACCAAGTGATTCAGAAACAGCGGGTTTTCTCAGCTTGAGTTACCCTTTGCTGACTGGCCGTGGACAAGCTGCTGGGCGCAGTTTGTTTTTGTCATCACACCTGCCCTCAACACCCTCCTGTGGACTTTAAGTACTGAGTTACCTGCCCTGCTCCCTCATGCCAGGCTGTGCCCGGGTCTCTGGGCTTTGATGGGTCAGAGTCATCCCTCCAACAGTCACTGACTGGGCTACAAAAGTGGCCCACATGTATTGGTTCTCACCAAAGTGAGAGTGGTTTCAGAATCATGTGTTTTCTGTGGGTCCCCCCGATCACCACGTCCACCTTCAAGACCAAATATCTGGGTTAGGGCTCAGGTTTATGCCTGTCTCCCCAAGCTAACTCTGACTTCAGTGCCTTCTACTCCCCATTCCTCCTTTCCCACCCCCAACTTAGCGCCATTGCTCCTGATTTGTCCTTGCAGTGATTCATTAGTGGGATTCGGAGAACAAGTGACTCCCCTGCCAGAGAGATAGTACAGGGGTTAAGGTGCTCGTCTTTCACACGAACGACCCAGGCTTAATTCTGGGGCACTGCACATGGTCTTCTAAGCACAGAGCCAGGAATAAGTCTTGGGCACTGCTGGGTGTGGCCCAAACCCCCATCCCCCATCAATAAGCAAAAACAAAATGACCAATTCCCACACGTCCCTCCAGATCTCCTGAGTTGGGCTTTTATGGGGTGGGAACTCCTGTGCCTATACTTCTAGAGGTGGTGTGGCAAACTGCAAAGACCACTGATTGAACTTTGAAAATTTTAGTGTGTGCTGCCATGCCACTGGAATCTGAGGCTTGACTTAACTGCCAACTGGATCTTTGGAGTACGAGTGAGGCCATCCTGCAGCAGTAATACAGAAGGTGGTGTATGATTGAAAAGTATTATAGTTTTTATTATGCTTCCTCTTAGAAAACTTAGTTATCAGAACTGTATCTCCATATTTTTTTTCTTGACTAAATGATAAAGCATTCCACCTGCTCCTTTGGTTTCAGACCAGTCTGCACACTAAAATCATCTGAAGAGCTTATGAACATTATTGATCCCCAAGCTCCAGATTCTTCCATCTTCAACAGGGTGGACCCAAGCCATCAATATTTTTATATCTTCTCCTCATCTCCAGGAGATTGTAGTGTGCCCTTAAAATCAAAACCCACTAATGATAAATGAATTCTTACCAAAAGATCCTTGCATCTGAACATGAATTGGATATAACCATAGAACACAGCTTTTATTTTCTTAATTGCTTAAATAGTTCTTGGGCATCTACTGTGGACTTGACATTGGAAATAAAAAGATTCACATAACTGGCCCGTTCTAGAATCTCTACAATTATATGTAATATTGTAATGGAGAGGTAGTATTGTCCTCTACTTTTCTAAGGAAGAAGTTCATCATTTTCTTCTATTCTCAGTGAGGATCAGTGAGTATGAACAAAAAGGTTAAGAAGCACAGTTTGGGGAACTATGAAACCTTTCCCTTCCTGAGGTTAGCAGTAAAATCCAGAAGTGGCATGTTCTGCCTTTTACACTGCAAAAACTAAGGGTAATTCCAAATGTCTGTTGAAATCCTCATTGCACATGCCTCTTTTAGTCTGCTTGGGCTTGTATAACATAGGACCAACATGTATTTGCTTCTTTTCTTTTTTTTTTCCTTTATTTTATTTTTTTTAAAAGTTGTAGATTTACAATTTTTTGTGCTTTGGTTTCAATTATACAATGATCAGATACCCATCCCTCCACCAGTGCCCATTTTGCTTCTTTTCAACTTATTCCACAAGTAGGTGTCTGGTGATTACTGGAATTATTCCTTTCACTGCACTTCTTGCTTTTTTCTTGGATCACATGAGGCCAGATTTAAAGCTAAAGTACTTTGAAAATAATAAAAGCTGGGCAGGAGAGAAAGCATGTAGGGCATTTCTTTGCATGGTGATGACCAGGGTTCAATCCATGGCACCACATATGGTCTCTCTAGAACCTGCAGGAGTGATCCCTGAACATAAAGCCAGGATTAAGTGATCCCTGAACTTATCCAGGTGTGGCCCCCAAACAAGTAAATAATACATATTTTTTTTAAAAAAACACTTTCCTATAAAATAATAAAAGCTTTGTAATAATCCAGATAATCAAAGCAGTATATATTTGAATCATAGAGGCCAGTGATGACTCAAAGCATTAGTTTCTGCTTTGCATGTAAGAGCCCCAGGCCCCACATGGTCCCTAGAGTACTTTTGTGCCCTTGAACACCAACAGATGTGTCCTAAACCTCTCCCCACTCCCACTTCATGAGTAAAGATTTGAAACTAAGTATCTACAAAGTAAGCTCCATTTGATGTCTACCCCCATTTTTCAGATAGTTGAGAAATGTTTTGATGGCTGGTAGTACCCTCCTGTGGCTTGTTGTCCTTCCCCCTCTGCCAGGAGACCCCACTTGGCTCTCTCTGGTCAAACACTCTATTCATCACATTCTTCCTCCTGGCCTCTCCATCCTGTGGGGACATGTTCTTGTCCATCTGTGATGACACCACATATCTGCACAGCCTCTTCTCCCTTTCAGTCCTCAGCACTGTGTATGTTTCCTCATCAATCCCTTTCTTGCTTGTGCCTCCTCAGAAAGCTCATCGGTTCCTATGGCTTCAATTCAGAAGATTCTTAAGAGTTACAGTTACAATTATGACTTCTTTCTTGAGCTTCAGATTTCATGTTTCCAACTCTCCTGAGCATCTTCCCATAATTTCTCATAGATGATTCAGATTCAGCATCTTTAAACTGAATCTGCGGTCACTCCTTCCGTGCACAGTTCTATCCTCTCAGGAGCCCAAGCCAAAGGCCTCTGCATGGTTCATGAACTCTCCCTCCTTATCAGTTTTCGTGTCTGCTGATTATCCAGACTTCTCAACTCTCCTCACATCTCACAACTCTGTGATTGCCTTTCTTTCCCCATTGCAACAGTCTTAGCCTCAACAGGAAATTTGCTCAGAAGGGAGGGATTGAAGAGTGATTCATAAAGAAGCTGTTTTCACACAGCACCTTTTCACCCTGAGGACACCTGAGCCTAACAGGCCACTGGATAAAATAACTAAGATCTAGCAAAGACTGCGGTTTTAAAAGAAAACCCAGGACAAAAACCTTTTCCTGGGATAATCAGATGACAGCCCAGTAGGGGAAGAGTGACAAGGAAATACCCCATCTCTTTCTTCTCGACCATCAGTCACCTCTCGGTGCCATTCTGGCCAACCCAAACCAGACACCAATGGGCAATTGAGCCTCTTCAAACAAATTGCACATTCCAGACGGTAGAAAGTAGAAAGCGGAAGGGAGGAAGATAGCAAGTAGTTCTTAAGAGAAAATGGAGAGAATTTAGCACTCTAACCAACTCCTTAGATCAAGTTTCCACCATTTCTCATCTGATCATCTAGAGTCTCTAATTCCTGCTTTGGGCACTTTTCTTTCCCAGTCTATTTGCACCTTGTCACAAACTACTCTTTCTTCAAATTACCACAGAATGTGCTAAACAGAATGGCCCTTGACTCAAAAACCTAACTTCAGTGATAAAGAGCAAACTCTCTTGGCAAACACTTACTGCTATGAATAATCACCCCACACCCTGACTTTTCTTCTTCAGCATGTTTTCCTTACTCTAGTCACATCTAAATATCAGTAATCACCCTACCCAGTATGTCACACAGATTTATTCTGTCCCTTCACTCCCTTGGTTATGTTCTTTTCTTATAGACATATGTCTTCTTGAGCTCCCTACAAAGTTTCTTTTTCCTTCTTATTTTTGAAGGCATAGCTGAATATCTCCCAACTACTTGGTAAACTTCCTTCCAACATCTCAGTTTTTCTCCTCTTTTTTTTTTTTTGGTCCATCTAGCCCTTTCTTACTTCAAGGACGGAAGCTACATAGTGCTACATAATGGAGTACCCTTCGAGATTGTGTCCCTCAGGGCAATTTTCCTGATCCATCTGACTGTCTCTTAAGATTCAGCACAGATCTTGGTAAATATTAGCTCATCAAAGAGTTGTTCATTGAATTCAGATCAATAAACATATCCATCTTAAGCCAACAGGATCAATGACTTGTTGGATCCTTTTCGTAAAATCCTGCTTTGAGCTTAAGCTTTCCAGGGTTTTTTCTTAACCAGTGATAGGAAATCTAAGATAGATGTGATGGCTAGCCAATGAAAGGGCATGTTGAAATATGATTGCTAGTTCCTTCCCCAACTTCCTCAGAAATACTTTGCGTTCACTACATCTTTCGAAGGAGTGTAGAAGGAAAATAATTACATTAATAGGAAAACAAATATTTAAACTTTGTTCATTTATTTAGCATATGACTACTTAATTTAAAAATGCTCACACACACACCCACACACACTTGCATGAAGCTCTTGAATATAAATTTAAGCCTGAGATTGGTTTGTTGCAGCATAGAATCTTCCACCTTATGATGGCCAAGATCTGTGATCAACTGTGAACTGTGTCAAAATCCCTTAACTATCCTCTAACCCTAAATATATTCTGATTCAAAGGATCACTATGAATATCACCAACCAGTGGATCTAGTTCATAGGAAGAACCTTAAAGATGTTAAGGATCACGTAAATCATTTCATCCAACCCTTCAGTACTCGGGTTCTGGGAGAACCAACCACAGTGGGGGATTGTCATTTGCTGAGTACATACAGAGCCTGTGCGTGCATCCGTGCCACATGACTCCTAGTGCTTGATAAGAGGAAAACTACAAAGCCACATTAGCCCAGAGTCAACAAAGACAAAGCCAAGTTTACGAAATCCATTAGCCAGAGAGCAAAGACTGACCTATTTGGAAAACTGGAGTCTTGAAATCTGTGTTGAAGTGGCCAACATATCAGCTGCCCAGTGCCTGGTCCTATAAGAGCATCTTTCCCAACCTGTCACAGCAGTTTTTGTTTGCTTAGTGTCTCAGTCACTCAGGCTGAGGATTCTCACTGTGAGCATAAGCCCTGGCAGATGCCCACTCCTGCATCCTGCACAGTGCACTCAGCCTGGCCTTCCCTGAGCCCTGCCCAGACCCTTCCAGGCCAGAGTTTGTGCGAGTGGGTGAAGTGGTTCCGTTATTGTCCCATTAGAGCTTTCTGATGAAATTTCCAGGAACTTTTGTCCACAGATTTTCCCCGAACACAGGGTTTCCTCCTGAATGGCTATTCCAGCTGCATTTCACAAAGGGGTAATTCTTCTCAGCTCACCTCTCCTCGTATGTCCTTCTCCTTCCATCCTTCCTGTGTCGTGATATTCATAGTGATCCTTTGAATCCTTCCATCCATCCTTACAGTGACTTTTAAATAATTTGGGTCAACAGGTAAGTTGTGCATCATGCCTGGCATCAGAGTTCACTGAACCCTTCTACAGCAGTTCATAACCGTTTAATCAACTCAGCAAAGACTCTTTCACCTCATGTTGCTTAAACAAATTTTCTACTGGTCTAACTATGCTCTTCAAACAACATACAACTTGCTCTCTCTGTCTCTCTGTCTCTCTCTCTATCTCTCTCTCAATCTGTACTTCTATTTGAGAAGAATAGAAGAAGCTTCTCAATAAATGTCAGCTCAGTGACTTTGCTGATAAATCCTCCATGAGGGAACAAATACAAGTTGCCAAAATGGTTTAAAGGTCAAAAAGCCCTGCCACCTGCCATCCTTCTACCTCTGCATGGAAAAAGTGAGCATGTTCCCAGTCTTGTTCCCTTTCTCCTCATCATTTTGAAAGTGACACACTGAAATAGGTGCAGCTTCAGGGAGCCCTGAGTTGGCCTCTTGTGGAGTCCTGACCTCCCTGTTAAGGTTAGCAGTTCCCCTGGGAGCCAGAGATTCTCTGGATTAGTCACTCTCCTCTGAAAGGACTTTTGTACTGAATTTTCCTGTTATTTGGTCTTTGGTTTGGTTTGGTTTGGGTTCTGATTTTAGTTTGGGGGCCACACCCAGCAGTGCTCAGGGGACCGTATGTGGTGCTGGGGGTTGAGTGGAGGTTGGCAGCGCATAGATCTAGTGCTTAACTTCTGTGTTATCTCTCAAGACCATCAATTAATCTTAACAACTCCACAGGGCAGGTGCTCTTGTCCTCCCCCTGCTGTAGAGGAGAGAACAGAGGCACTGAGGGATGAAGACACCAGCCCAAGACCCCAGACAATAAGCGGCAGTGCCAGGACAGGCCTTCTGACTGCAGAGCTTGACACCTCCTCTGTTCCCCCTCTACCTCCTCTAAAAGAACTGCCCTCCTTATCTCATCTCAGTAGTTCAAACTTGGGGACTAAAGCAGAAATCGCTGTTTAAACCCTCAAGTTTAGTGATGTGGGCACTGCTCACTGGGAACTTCTTCAGAGTCAGACCTGAGGGGCATTAGGCATTTGTGAGAGTAGCTGCCATGAAACAACCCCTTCCAGCATCCCAGAGAGGAGTCAGCTGTGAGGGTGGCGTGGCTCCATGGTCTCATAGTATGGGTAGTTCCTCCTGGGGCCTGGAAGATAACGGAGGGTGAAAAAGACCCAGAAGCAAAAGGAGAGAAGAAATTGGTGCTGCCCAGAGGGCCTGAAGGAATGAAAAGTAAGGTTTGATGGGGGTGTCTTTCAGTAGAATAAGTGACCACACTGTCCAGGGTCTGTTCTTATCACCCCCAATTTCTGCCTCAGGGGATCAAATAGAGATTGAGGATGAACTTTCTCTCCCCTGGCCATTTGAACAGAAGACAAAGACATCCCCCGCCCCCCAAAAAATTAGCTAGAGCCCTGGCTATTGCCTTTAATACCTGGGCTGAGTTGCTGAGTTGAGCCCTGGCTATTGCCTTTAATACCTGAGCCCAGTCCTTCAAGGGGCTACAGGATGGATATCAGCTGTAGCCCCATCCACGGGAGGGTTCAGCATGCAGTGGATCACTAGGAGGCCTGTTGCAGCAGAGAGTCAGGATCTCCTGGGACCTGTAGGTGCCAACAGAGAAGGGGTAGGGGAAGGACCGGAAATATAAAAACACTGATGTTCCATGGGATTGTGAAAACTGAGCCAGGGATTCTGAAAATACAACCTTGGGGCTTAATAAACAAAACTATGGGAGGAAAGCTAGCCCAAAATTTTACGTGGGAGAATTTATTAGAAAATGACTACTGAATAGCACTTAGAGTTTATACTAAAAATTTAACTCTTTGGAGCTAGAGAGATAGTACAGGGATTAAGGCGCTTGCCTTGCATGCAGCCAATTGCAGTTGGATCTTCAGCACCTCATGCGATCACCGGAGCACAAAGCCAGGAGTAAACTCTGAACCCCCCTAGGTGTGCCCTCCTCCCCCAAAAAGTAATTAAAATGAACAAATGAAAACAGAAATGCAGGTCTCCTTGCCACGCTCCCTATGCATAACTTGTGACCCATCTCTCATCTGCCATTTTCCTCACCTGCTCAGGGAGCTTCTGGAGCTTCCTTTCTCCCAGAAGACAGCTTGTGTAGCATCACAGACCTCTCCAGTGTCTCTCTTGTGGGTCTCTATTTCATGAACAAATGTTAGTGAATTATTTTATAATCTTTCCACAGATCTCTGGAAATGTAAAAGAGGAGACTTTCTGTTTTGCAGTTATAAAACTAGAATTTCTTTAACTGGCTCTTGATGATTTCCTGTCATCTGAAATTGCAAATGCTTATTCATGTTTTCCCCTCAGTTCCACAAAAGATACTCAGTAGTGACGCTGTGCACAGCGTGTATTCACTTTGTCATTCAAGTTGAAAAGATGTATGATGCTCTGAGGAAAACCTGGGAGCTTTGTAGACTGGCACTGGGAACTTAAAGAACAAGCCTTTAAATATTAAAAAAAAAAACTCAGGAGGGTCAGAAAGATAGTACAAGTGGGTAAGGCATTTATCTTACCTGTGTCCAATACAAGTTCGATCCCTGGCACCACATATGGGCCCACACACACCTCCAGGAATAATTCCTGATCACAGAACCAGGAGTTAGCACAGTAGATGCACCCCCTCCCCACAAAAAAAAAAAAAAAAAACTTGCAGAGTAACTCAAAAAGTTACCTAACTTAGTTGGTAGCTTAAAGTTCTTTCCCTCTCATACTTAATGATTTTATTTCTTTCTTTACTGGTTATTTAATTATGCTTGCATCACAAAGGGATTTTGATGATTAGATGTCATTTTGCTCACGTTGCAATGAGCTCTGCCAGTTTTTCAATGGTGAGCCTCTACCAGACAGAAAACAGACCAAACAGCCTTCATGAAAAAGTTGCTGTCTGGGTAGCCTATGCATTGTGTTAAGGCTGATTTCAGCCCTTTATGGTTGTATTGACATATGTCCTCAATTCTCTGCTGTGGAAGACAACTGGGATTGTAGTACACACATGCCAATCTCTACAATGACTTGAGACAGTGAAAAGTTGTGGGTTTGATCAAATGTACTTTGTTTCTTTTCTCCTTTTCTTCTTCTTTTTTTAAATGCATTTTTTATTTAGTTTGTATTTATTATCTGAACATGCAGGTGGGGGGAGGGCAGAGTACTGGGTTGTACGTGATGAGCCCTCTTTCACTGGTTTTTCAGAGCGGAAATCGAATTCTGTGCTCCATCATACTGAACCACCACCAGGGCCCGTCCATCATCAACTATGATGACGAGAGTGGCAAGACTTGCGTGCACATCGCCGCTGCTGCCGGTTTCAGCGACATCATTAATGAATTGGCAAAGGTCCCTGAGTGTAACCTGCAGGCTCTGGATGTAGACGACAGGTATAGGTAACTCCCCAGAGAATGGAGGGAACCCCTAGTCAGCTTCTCCACGTGTTAAGCTCAAAATAAAGAGTGTGTTTGGAGAAGTTACACCACAAGGACTCTCAGCTTATTGCCAGTAATACTCGCATATGTACTTATGACAAAAAAAAAGCTGCTCTATTTTAGTCAAGGAAGGAAAAACCATTGTGATGGAGAGAAATGCTGTGACTGTACAGTATGGTCAGATTTTCCACATTTTGCTAAATAGTCTCAGTGTTCCCAGAAGGCTCGCTGTGCCTCAACTCCTGTTCTTAACAGCCTCCCACCCTCCCTCCTTCCTAGATTATGTCATAAAGCCAACACATTCTTGTTATCTAAGAAACAAAATAGAAGCTTGTGTTTAGAACTCAATGACCTTATCGGGTTTTCCATTTTTCATCATTAAAGACATATTGGCAGATCCCTGGCACCTCTGGACCCCAGCACCGAGCCAAGAGCAGCTCCCCTCTATCCCACACACACTCAGCACTGAGTTGGGGTGTCCCCCACCCCCGCCATCAAAACAGGAGGTAATGACTTGCCTAAGAGGTGGTTAGCAAATAAAGGAAGACTTGTACCCGAGTCTTCAAGCACAGTTGTTTGATTTTTTTTAAATTACAATGCTCTGTCCATGCCCAGCTTTTTAGTCATAATGCTCATCTAACCTTTGTTTTTTTTTAGTCATTGATTCAATGGAAATATAAGAGCAATAATAACAACAAAATAAAAGAACTGTAAGAAAAAAATTAAAATAACAAATAAGGGGCTGGAGCGATAGTACAGTGGGTAGAACATTTGCCTTGCATGCGGCTGACCCGAGTTCGATCCCCAGCATCCCATATGGCCCCTCGAGCACCGCCAGGAGTAGTTCCTGAGTGCAGAGCCAGGAGTAACCCCTGTGCATCGCTGGGTGTGACCTAAAAAGAAAAAAATAACAAATAAGACTATTGAAAATAACCGTTAGGTGTGCAAAGGGCTGGAGTGATAGCACAGAGGATAGCGCATTTGCCTTGCACGTGGCCGACCCGGGTTCGATTCCTCTGCCCCTCTCGGAGATCCCGGCAAGCTACCAAGAGTATCTCACCCGCATGGCAAAGCCTGGCAAGCTACCTGTGACGTATTTGATATGCCAAAAACAGTAACAACAAAGCTCACAATTTGTTGTGAGATGTTACTGGTGCCCATTCAAGCAAGTCGATGAAAAATGGGAGGACAGTGCTACAGAGCTACTTTCTTCTACTACATTGCAAAATTAGTTGCCCTCTTAGTTTAGATGTTACCCCATAGAGAGGAAAATGTTTAAGTTTATATAAGTCTCAGAAGCTAGAGGTGGTTAAGATGATGACTTTAATTAAAATTTAAGAATAGTTCAATATAGTGAGTGCATACTTTGCATGTGAGAAGCTTGGGTTCTAAATCTGATACCACTTTAATCTCCTGAGCACCATTGGGAGTAGCTCTGAGCACAAGTAGGTGTGGCTCAAAAAAAAATGCACTTCTTTTAAGGGTTGATCTTGAGCAGCTAAGAAGTAGAACTTTGGTTATATAAGCAGAAAAAAACAAATTTCCGAAGAGAGTTAGAGAAAAATGTTCCTACCTCAAGTACACCTAGAGCCAGCTCAGAATAAAATATGTCTCATTTGCTTTATCCCACACTTGTAGCCAAAAAAAAAAAAAAATCCAGTCACCTCTCCCCACCTCAAAAAAAAAAAAATACTCACAAAAGAAAGTTTGCTAGGGCAGGAAAAAAAAAGCACCAGGTCTAGAACTTAGTGGGGTTTGCAAGTGAAGGAGTCAAGCTTCTACTCCAGAGCTCAGCTCAATCCCTTCAGTACTCAGCCTGACGTCTTTGTGCTGTTGTTTTGTTTGGTTGCAGTCGTGGTTTTATGTTGAAACTGTCAGCCATGTTAATCATAGAAGTTTTAAAAACTTTCACAGGTTTGAGACCTTTAAGCATTAGTATTAATTGTGACTTCCCTTTTCTTTTTCCTGGCAGAAAGTTTTCAAAGAGAGGGAAGGAAAGAAAATAGAACAGTTATTTTTTTGTAAAAAGAAGAGAAAATAAAAATAGGGGAAATAGGACATATGGGGAAACTTGTCCTTGGTAGTAAACTACATCACTAATCTGTGATTCTTTGGGAGGAGGCAGCCCAGGTGGTGCTCAGAGATCCTACAGCCACTTCTGCCCAGTCTCAGCCAACCAGGCCAGGTGGCCAGGTGCTAGGACCAAGGATATGGTATTGCCCTGACTTGTGCCGGAGGCCTCCAGGGAAATACCTGTCATGAGGGATTAGGGGTCATGAGGTGCTAACATTTGAAATTGGGTCTTAAACCACTGAACTAATTCCTTGACTCCAGATTTCTCTTATTTAAAGTATGGTGATACTAATCAAAGATGGTTGGCCCAGATACAGGACCCAGAAGTACTTTGGGTACCTTACGTGTCCCAACTGTAGGCCTTCTAAAGACACACTTTCCTGTTACGCATTTATTTTCAGGAAGGACAGCCTTTTATCAAATTCTCCTCCTTACCTATTTCTAGGAATATTCTAGGAAAATTTACACATCCCACAAATCATCTTTTGACATCAATTCAACTGATGCAGTGTCTTTGTATACCCATCATCTCCAGGCCTTCTCACCAACCAACTGCTCACCTTTCATCTTTGAGCAGTTAATCACTGAACATTCTTGAAACATCAGCCCTCACCTTCCTCGCTGTGATAGCTGAGACCCAAGCTGAGGTGTAATACTTGCTTCTACCTCTAAAGTTTGACAATCAGAAAGGCATAACAGCTCAGATCACTGACATTTGCAGCTACAGATTGCCCAGAAAAACCCACAGAATATCAACTAAAAATTATCTATGTGCTCCCCTATCTTTCTGAAACACAATTTATTTCACCTTTTCCTTTTCTTTTTTTTTTCCCTTAAGATCTCTTGTTTATTTCTTTCAGAGTATAGAGACATTATATTCAGTATAGCATTCTTTTTTTTTAATTGGATCTCAGGGAGATACAAAGCTACAAAGTTGTTCATGATTGGGTTTGAGTCACATAATGTTCTAACACCTGTCCCTTCACCTTTTCCTTCTGCATCTCATCTTTCATGCAGATGATCAGAATAATTAAATAGCTGATCAAAAAAATTTTCATAAGGGAATATTTCACAATACTCCAAAGTGAATGCCAACATGTTGGTAAACCTGACTAGATTAATGTGCAACCCTCCACCTACTGAATTTATTGGCAATATATCCTTTAAACAGGAGGGCATAAACTGGCTGGTGCTTCATCTTGCTTCATAATAAATATTGCCTGGAGAAGCCTCTAATGTAGAATGGAATAAATCATATATGCTACATATTTGGATGAGCCATGTGATTGATCATGACAGCAAAAAATTATATATGGTTCTGCTAAGTGTTCTCAAATTGCTGCCCGCAGGTTAAAGTAGGAGGAGGGGATGTCATTGACAGAGTTCTCCTTGTCTATATGGAGATGCTGGCTATGTTCTGCTCTCCGAATACTAAAACCCATGCCCCTTTACTGACTGCAGCTCCCAGGTTACCTCCATGTCTGAGGAACCACCAGACTCTCGTGAAGTGTCCTTCTGCCCAGGGTTCAGGCCCCAAACACAAGACCAAGAAGACACCTCATGTGTCCTCCTTTCTTGACTTGGCATTGCTGCTTTTCAAAGTGACTGACAAGTAGATTACCATCCATGCATGACAAAAAACACTGTTAGGAGTGTCAGTGTGTAATGCTGCCCTGAGTCTCTCTGTGGTCCCCTTCACGTACCACACAGATACCCCCACCATCACCACCACACACGCACCATCCTTACTTCCCAGCACTTCTGCCAGGTAAGCAAGTTTCTGGTCCCCTACTGGGGTCCAGCAGTCCTTGGTTGCTTACTGCTCTCTTGTCATATCTGCCTTGACAGTGGAGGAGATACTCTTTCTACTGCTGAAGAACTAATTCATTCCAAATATGCTCTCACTTCTATTTTTGGAAATAGAAAGATTCTATTTCTCATATTTATTCTGCGATATTTCTTCCCTTGAGGTCAAGCACAGTCAGTCATGTCCTAAACAGAGGCAAAGGGAAGGGTTGAAAAATATGTATAAAGATAAAGAGCTCAAACTACAATCCTACCACACTGAGAAATGGTGTTGAGAAAAGTTGGCTGTTATTTGAAAGATGGTCAGAGAACAGCACACTCCAACTGCACAAACCAAAATGCATGTACAGAAACACATGCAGGTTTGTTGTATGCATTGATAAATAGATTCTTCTGTTTGTTTCCTTTTAATTGACTTAAATCCAATATCATCAGGAGGTGCTGTATATTTTTGCTATTTCTAACACAAGCATATTCAGATAACCACCACTATCTCGATTCAGAATGAATTTATCTACTCCAATATCAAATTGTCCTTTGTAATCATTCTTCTCTTGCCTCAAAGTTCTGGCAACCGCTGAGCTGTTCTCTGTATCTACATTTTTTACCTTTTCCAAAATGTCATCTAACTGGAAGCATACACAATGAGATCTGACATGGACATTTTACCGAGAAGATTACATTTGCGATTCACACTCATTTCCTATGTCAGTGGGCAGTTCTTTATTGCTGAGAAGTAGCCAATGTGGGATGACCCATAGTTTATTCTTCCAGTCACCTGTGAAGAACACTGGGGTGTTTGCAGTTTGGGGAAATTCTTAAATTGCTGCTCTATGTAATCATACGTAGGTTTTTTTATGACTATAGTTTATATTTCTCCAGCTAAAGGTTTGTAAGTGAGATTGTCTAACCATTTGGTAAGATGTATCTGACTTTAAAAGGAACTAATACCAGTGTGCAGCATGACTGCTATTTTGCATTCCCACAGAATGTAGGAAAGTTCCTGTTACTCCGAATATTTACCAGCCATCAACAATGTCAGGAGCTTCTGTTTATTTTGCATTAATTTTAGCTATTTTAATAGGTTTGTGGTGGCATTTCTTTGTGGTTTAAATTTACATTTCCCTAATGAAAAATCTTATTGACAATTTTAACCCTGGAAGAGAGGCCCACATTCACGGGTAGTCACCCTCCCGCCTACTCTCACCTGCTACTTCCAGGCTAGGAATCCCAGTGAGTGCTCCCTGCTGCAACCTACCTTGAATCAGGGGCTGCGGCTGGCCAGGCAGTTTCTCCAGCTTGTGCTCAGATGCCCATGTTTTCCCATGTCCCCCCAGGACCCCTCTGCACTGGGCTGCAGCTGCGGGGAAGGCCGACTGTGTGCAGTTGCTGCTGGAGTTGGGCATGGACAGCAACCTACGGGACATCAATGAGAGCACCCCGCTGGCCTATGCCCTGTACTGTGGCCACACGGCCTGCGTCAGACTCCTCACCCAGGAGAACAGGTGAGCACATTGCCAGCCACTTCTACTCTCCCTTCTGCTCAGAGATTTACAGAAGTTGAGTGCTTGGGAGGTGGCTCAGTAGTAGAGTACATGCCTTGTATGTCTGAGACCTGTGTTTTATCCCTTACACCCGGAAAAAGAAGGAAAAAGCCCTAAAAACAGAACTGGAGGTGAAGTCAGTCATTTGTAAAATTTAATGCAGCTTTTCCCTCATAAATTATGTATATAAACAATATATATAATTATATATGGCACCATGGCTTAAAATGCAGTTGCTCCCCTCATAAATCATATATATAAACTATGTGTATATAGTTATATTTATATACACACACATATATGTAGCACCATGGTTTACAAAGCTGTCAATAATAGGTTCAGGGCCTGAAGAGATAGCATAACAGGTAGGGTTTTTGCCTTGCATGTGACTGGCCTGGATTCAATTCCCAGAGCCCCATGTTGTCCTCTGAGCCCCACCAGGTGTGATCCCTGAGCACAGAGCCAGGAGAAACACCTGAGCTTCCAGGTGTCGCCTCAAACCCAAAATAATAATAATAATAATAACAATAATAATAATATATTTTCAGGTATACAGCTCTAATCCCACCACCAGTGTTCACATCTCTCCATCAATGCCCCCAGTTTATCCTTCATCACCACTCTACCCACTTCCCTAACAGGCACATTTTAAAGTTCAATTGTTGTTTGGGTCCCATGCTGACAGTAGTGGTTTAGATACACACTTTGCTGCATGCAAAGCAAGAGCCTTATTATCTCTCTGGCCTTGTGTTCAGTATTTCAAGGCATTTAGGTTTTTGGTTTGCTTTTAAGAATTGGTTGATTGGTCTGGGGGCCCCATTCAGTGGTATTCAGGAATTACTGTACTCGGATGGGCAGTGCTCAGAATACCATATGGTATCTGGGATCAAACCCAAGGGTCCCAGCATACAGTGAAAGCACTCCAAGCCTTTGAGCCATCTCCCTGGCCCAAGAGACTTATTGAACATAAAAGAAAGGAGATAAAAAATACATCATGAGAGCCAGAAAGATTCCACAGGGGTAAGGCACTTCCCCAGTATACAGCCAAGCCTGATTCAGTCCCCCTGCACTGCATATGGTTCCTAGAACACCACCAGGAGTAATCCCTGGTCACTGTCACTGTCACTGTCCTCCCGTTGTTCATCGATTTGCTCAAGCGGGCCCAGTAACGTCTCCATTGTGACAATTGTTATGTGTTTGGCACATCGAATCCGTCACGGGTAGCTTGCCAGGCTTTGCCGTGCAGGAGAGATACTCTCGGTAGCTTGCCAGGCTCTCTGAGAGAGGCGGAGGAATTGAACTCGGGTCGGCCATGTTGGTCGCTTGCAAGTCAAATGCCCTACTCGCCGTGCTATCGCTCCAGCCCCCCTGATCACAGCCCCATGATAAAATAAATTGCAGATGACAGCATCTCGAGGTGGAGGTATGGTAATCTGGCTTTGCAAGCGTGAGCGTGGATCAGGTTTCATCCTGAACTCACAGCAGAGAGAGCATTAAGTCACTCATGGCCTCAAAAGAGAATCAACAGAATTTTCGAACAAACCAAAGCACAATAGTGCTTAGAGAAAGCCTCCACCTTCAAAGAACCAGCCAGGCAACATCTGACCTTTCTTCTTTAGATTTTGCCTGCCCAGTGGGTATTGCTCTCTTTGTGCTACCACACCCAGCCTCTGGCCTGTACACTTCCGTTTTCACAGCAGAAGCACAGTCAGAGTTCTTTCCTTGCTTATCTTCACTGGTTTTTTTTTCTCCCCAGTGGGAAATTTAGGTTTAAGTTTTTTTAAAAAATTTTTTAACTAGAAGGAAAACAACAAACCCACCCTGGCATAAAACGAACAGGCATCCTAAAGAGCATATGCCCTGTGATTCTGCCTGGCTCTCCCAAGATTCCCTTCAGAGAAGTCCTGAAACATCGCTCCCCGCTACCTGCAGCCTCCACCCTACTCTTTCCTTTCCTCTTCTCCTTCCTTCCTCACCCCTGCTGACTTTTTCTGAGAATTGAGAAGAATAACGAGTAAAGCAGTTTTCTGCAATTTGTCTCTCAGTGAAAAGTTAGCCACTGGGAAGCCTGGAAAGTTGGAGAGCTCTCCTCTCCGGGGAGCAGGGGAATCCAGGAAATGTTTGAAATGGGGGGGCTGGAGCGATAGCACAGAAGGTAGGGCATTTGTCTTGCACATAGCCCACCTGGGTTCGATTCCCAACATCCCATATGGTCCCCCGAGCACCGCCAGGAGTAACCCCTGTGCATTGCTTGGTGTGACTCAAAAATGAAAAAACAAATGTTTAAAATGGGCCCAAGCAGGAAGGGGGTTGCCATGGGAGATGCAAGCTCTTGCACATCATCTCAGTCATGACAGGGAGTAGAAATATTTCAGTGCCCTGAGACATCTGCGCCAGCACATGGTCCCAAGAAAGGTGCTGAGGTGGTCAGGATTGCTTTGCCTCCTCTGCTCACCTGAATCCTTGCATTCTGCACCCCCTAGAACAGAGCCTGCTGCACCCACTTCTTCTCAGAACACTAAACCCCCAAAGAAAGAAGGACGCTTCAGCATGCTCAACCAGATCTTCAGCAAGAACAAGCAGAGGGCATCCCAGAAGGATCCCAGCGGGGACCCACCTAGCGGGGAGGACCCCTCGGAAGTCGATGACATCATCACTTCCTTTGACAGCATCGTGGACACCAACTGCCAGAAACAGCCTGGTGAGCAGGTGGCTATGGTCGACTTTAAGAAGAGGAATACAGAGAATTCAAAATACCTCTTGCCAGAAAAGAAGCCTCTGGTCCGCAAGGGGCTTCCACCAATCAGAACACAGAGTCTTCCTCCCATTACCCTGGGCAATAACTTCCTGACGGCCTCCCCAGGGGCCATGGCCCAAGCCGGCCTGAGTTTTACTCATCACAGGGCCCAAAGATCTCAGAAAAGTCGCAGTGAGCAGGATTTATTGAATAACAGAACTGGCTGCCAGGCACTGCTGGAAAACCCCTGGAGGGGTGATGCCCACCAAATGTTCTACAAAGCGTGGACGGTGTCTTCCTCTGATAAGCTCCTAGACAGATTGCTTACTAGCAAATTGGGCCACCAGCAGGTCTCAGGGCTGCCGCCTCTTCCTCATCTGCACAATTCTGTATCAGGTAATGTCCGATTTCCTTCTGCCTCACTCCTGGCAAACTCTATGCAAGAAGTGGCTAACTTTGAGTCAGGTAGATTGTACAGTGAACAGGGCACACTACTGACCCAGGTTCCAGACCTGGCATCCCATATGGTCCCCCACCTCCTGCCAGGAGTGAGTCCTGTGTGTGGCCCCACAACAAACATGACTAAGTTAAAAACAAATTTAGGGTTACCCTTTTTCCTGGAGTCCCACTGTCTTTAAGATTTCCAGGCAACAGGAACATTTTGTGTTTCTACATGCAAACCGCCCCCCAGCCCCCAGCCACAAGGAGTACTCAAGAGGGTCCCGTGGCCACTTCCAGTGATACTTGATCAACTGGGGTAAATAGTTCAATGCTCCAATCTGGCTATACAATGTTGCTTGGACCCAGTGGTGTTGAGGGCCAGTAGGGACACACCAGGGGAACTTGCAGGGTCAAATACCACAGGTGGAGCCTTGTACGTACAGTGCAAACCAGTATTTTGGGGGTTTTGTTTTGTTTTGTTTTAGGGCTGCACTCAGCAATGCTCAGGGTCAGCCACATACAGAGCAAAAGCCACCTCTCCTGTACCCTCTCTCTGATCAACTGTTAATTTTGAATGCTGGCCTACTCCATGCTTATAACTGTCGATCCATGAACCAATATGCAAGACAGGTGCCGATCAGCAGGTCCCCAAAGGATGAAGAATGCTATAGTCACTTGCCCATGTATCATCAGATCTAGTCTTCTCCCTCCTGCTCGACTTCCTTATCTCATGGAAATACACTTGCACAGCTCCCTTATGGCGGCTTCCAAGTACCAGCAGATTAAGAGCAGGAGCAAGACAGACAACAGTGTCATCCTAGGCATTCTGCCTCTATGAGTCTCCCTCCATGGCTGTGTCTTCCCAGGAACTCTACCAGCTCCTCCCTGTGGTTCTGGGCCTTAATGATGCCATCTCAGGATTTTGTAATGACATCTTGGGCCTGTGTAATGCCAACTCAGGCCTGTATAATGCCATCTCTTTCTTCCCTGAATCTCTCCAAACTAGTAGAGATTGCTTCTTCCTCCTAGTAGAAATTTCTCTCTGCCTGGTTCCTTTGGCTTCTCAGGCTTTTCCATCACTTGTGAGAGCCCTGGGTTCAATCACTGGCACCACATGGCTCCCTGAGCACTGCTAGAAGTATCCCTGAGCACTGCCAAGTGTGACTCTCCAACACCCATCATAAAAAGGAAAAAAAAAGTAAAACTAATCAATAACATATTTAGAACTTGAGTCTGAGGTTTCTGAAAATAGAAAGGTATTGCTATGGCAACATCTATCTGTTTGTCTGTCTGTCTGTCTCTGTCTCTGTCTCTCACTAGCTCTCATTTTTCTCTTCAAATCTCAAAATCCAGTTTGTTAGTATGCTTAGCCAAAAGTGTGATTTTCTTAGAAATTGCATTATCCTTCCCAAAAGAAAAAGATTTCTTAGGACTTTTAAAGAGATAGTAGAATGGGTAGGGTGCTTGCCTTGTACTTGGCTGACCAGGATTCAATCCCAGGCACCCCACATGTTTTGCTGAGGCCCACCAGGAGTGACCCCTGAGCACAGCAAGTGTAGCTCCCAAACAATTACACACACACACACACACACACACACACACACACAAAGACAATTTCTCTGCCTTACGGATTTTATTTGTGGAGACATTTTAAATGTACTCCATCTGTTATTTTTAGAAGCTCTGAGGTAGGTGCGCTCACATGGTTTCCAGTCAAGGCTGCTGGGATGAAGCAGACCCCCTGAGCATGCCATTGTCCAGACTGGCTCTTCCCTTTAACTTTTCCCTCTAAACTGTCACACTGTTCCCAGAAACAGACCAACTGGGATTTTAGGTGAGCCCGGGAAGCTCCCCGTGCCATATTCGATATGCCAAAAACAGTAACAACAAGTCTCACAATGGAGACGTTGCTGGTGCCCACTCGAGCAAATCAATGAACAATGGGAGGACAGTGCTACAGATAGTGCTTCTTATAGAATCTATTTGAGCCCAGACGATGCGACCCAGGAACAGCATTCAGGCTGCTCCCAGAGAAGGGTTCCAAAGTCTGGTTGAGGCCTAGAGGTGTCGTGCTTGATGCGTACGTGACAGGAGGTGGCAGCAAGTATCTCAGGAATGCCACTGCACCGTTGTTGCTAGCCTGTCTGGCTCCAGACTCCGCTTCTCTTCACGGAGGCAAGGAGCAAGGTCGCTTTGCTTTTCTTAATCTGCCACTTTGGTCCATTCTTCAGGGAACCGGGGGCTTGAGCATCACAGTTGGTCACTCTTCTGAGGGTTGGTGACAAGCCTGTCTCAGATCATTGTGCCGCTAGACCTTGGCCCATCACTGGGTGCAGGAGGCTTGGAAGCGCCTTCCCAGAACCTGCCCTATACTTGCCTCTGGGATTTATTGGTGGGGGCGGGGGGGATGCGGGGGGAGCTTTCTGCATTTTCCTTCATGCTGCCCTTGCTTTTTCGTAAAAATCATACTGGCTCGATCCTGCTGTTTGGATTCCTGGCAACCCCTCCCCAGTGCTGACTTGCTGACATCAGCAACCCCGAACATTTAGCTCTAATGATTATTACTTCACATTTATTGAGACCTGTCAGAGGGCTAGATGGAAAGAGATGGGGGAGGAGGCACTTATCCTAATGATGGAATTTGGAGCCCATCAGCTTAATTCATTAGGAGCAGCTTTCAGAGAAGATGGGACAGAAAGCTCTGTGGTGTTTGCTGCCTGCCTGGTTATTTACAAGTCATTAGGAGGAAAGGAAGAAAGAGCTGCTTCCGGGTCTCCCTCAAGAGAGAACCAGAATTAAGCTCTCCCACCGTGGACGTTGCTCCCAGTGACCCCCTGTTTAAACCCCTCAGAGACTTTGAACCATGCCAGGACAAAGGCCATTTCTCTGGACAAAGTTTTCGCCACAGAGCCTGGCCATAATTCCAGTCTCAGCTTTTGCCCATCACTCCCTGGCAGTGGTGTTGAAATGGCTCATACTTCACTATTTTTGCTTAGTTGATTTTGGTTTTGGATCACCCACCCCCAGCGGTACTCAGGACTAACTCCTGGCTCTGCGCTCAGGGATCACTCCTGGTGGGACTCAGGGGACCATATGGGGTTCCAGGGATCAAATCTGGGTCAACAACATGTAAGGCAAACACCCTACCTGCTGTACTATTGCTCCAACCTCACACTTCATTCCGTTGACTTCATTCCCAAACCCTCTCACTCTGTGACCACCTTGTCCATGGAGTTTTTACCTTCTCTCCGCTGTTTGCATATGTGTGAACGACACCCAGAGGTGTTTGGTGGCTACTCCTGGCAGTGCTTGGATTGAACCAGGCATGCAGGACCTGGATTAAACTTTGGTCTTCTGCGTGCAAAGCGTGTACTCTGGCCTTCTGTGTCATGTGCCTGGCTCTAGCTTCTCTCCACTGTATAGTTAACGGATTTCTGCATTCCTGCAACCTCCCATGGGGATGCCCCCTAACATCTGCTGAGCTGTGGAAAGAGCAGATAGCAAGTACCGTAACAGCTGCAGAACTGTGACTCTTTCGTAACTGTTTTTAAAAAGAGCAACTGTACCAGGATGAGCCTTTACTGAGTCAGACAAAGATCTCCACATTGCTGATTTTCAAGAAATGAAGAAACTGAGGCACAGAGCGGTTAGTTGCCTGCCCCAGAGCTAGTAGCTGAGAAGTAACAGAGAAGACATTCAAGGGAGGCACACGGGAGGGAAGAGCGCTCAGCCTCTCTAGACCCTTCTTTCCTACCATTGAACGGCTCCTATGATGAACACCTTGTGCACTGACAGATTATTGGTTTGCCTCTCTGTCTCTCTGTCTCTGTCTCTCTCTGTCTCTGTCTCTGCTTCTCTCTCCCTCACCCCAGCCTCTCTTTCTCTCCCTCTCTCCATAAACTGTAAGTGTTCTGAAGTACCTTGCCTTCTCTTAGAACTCTAAACCTTAGAATCCAGAGGGGTTTGAGTAGGTGAGTTAAAGTAAGTTCAATGCACTTGTGTGTTGTTATTACTGTTATTATTCACTCACTGCCAATGCCTTCATTGACCTGGGGAAAACTTTTCTACCTAACTGTTCTAGAACAGTGGTCCTTGACTCTGTCCCACAGGGGACCACACCCTGAAGAAGCATGAGACACAGATAGGACAGCTCAGGTCTAGGGTCAGAGAGAGATTGTAATTGTCTTGCATGAAGCTGGCCCAGGTTTCATCCTGGGCCTCACCAGAAGTGATTCCTGAGCACAAAGATCAAACGAATACTTACCACAATGTACTAGAAATCAAGTTAAACACTCCACAATGCACATAGATCTATGCATAAATTTGTCCTATCCTCCAGGGTTGAGCGAATAACTGCCTTGTCACTCTCATTCTTACTTCCAAATCACGGCCATATCCCCTGTCTGCCTCCTTCTCCATCAGTCCATGTTGCTTACACTCCTAGGGAAGCAAGTATGAATTGTAGGGTCAGATAAACCTGAGATGGTGCCAGGCTCTGTCCTTTCCATCATGTAACCTTGAGGGTGGTTTTTTTTGTGTGTGTGTGCCATCTTGATCACCCACCAAGATGGATAATATCTTGTAAAATGGGGGAATGGTGATGGCATTGCTTTCATAAGGGAAGGGGATGATTCAGATCAAATGAGGTTATGCCAACATCATTGAACCCAGACTCTGGGCATAGTAAGTGCTCAATAACCATTATCTACAGTTATCTTGATGTCGCTTCTTGGATTTTCAAATTTCTACTCAAGAGCAGATAGAAAAATAAGGCATGAGAGAATATGGGTTTGATTATAGTTTTACACTTCTTTCTGAAGAAAGTCTCAAGAAGTAATTTGCTCTAAAAAGTTAAAAATAAAATAATACTGTGGAGCTGAAAAGACAATATAGGAACTTGCTTAGCTTATTGGGAGCCCAATCCCCAATACCACACATGGTCACCCAAGCACCACCATGACTCCTGAACAAAGAACCAGGAGTAAGATGTGCGCATAGCCATGTGTATGTGGCACCCAACCAAAAAATAATGAAATAGATTAAAATGTTTTAAATGCATTGACAAAATGTCTACCAAGGCAACTAGAGGGTTTGTTGGGTTTTTTTTTTGGGGGGGGGGGGTGGGCAGAGCTGAGTGTTTGTTTTGCTTTATTTGTTTTGCAAGGCAGGGATATAACCCAGGGTTTCACACATTCCAAGCAAGTTCTCTGCCTCTGAACTACATCCCCACCAGAGACTGGAAGTCTTGTTTATTTTTTTTTTGTCTTGTTCATTTTCAAGTTACAACTGCCTGTGTAGTTACCCTTAGAAATCTGCTATTAGACTCATCTGAACAGATGGAAGATGGATGTTGGATAATTCTTTCTGTATTTTTTCAGTATCAGGAAGCTAACCCAGGCTTCGTGCATGCCAGGCACGTGCTTTACTACTAAGTTCCATTCCGTGCCCTAGCTACCGATTTTTTTTTCTTATTCTAAGACTAAAGAGACAACACAAATTCTTGCATGTTGTTATGGTGATTCTGGTTCCTACTAGACTAACAGGCAAAAGATAAAATGAATACTTGCCCTAGTGTCTTGGAAATCAAGTTCAACACTCCACAGAATAAGACTGTAATCCTTGCATAACTGGAATTATCATTAATATTTCCCAATTACCCTCTTCTTTACATGTTTTTCATTTGTTCTCCTATGTAATTTTTGGGAGCTACTGGGGGGATAAGGATACGATTATCTTCATCATTTTATATATGACAAGGTTGAGGTGTAGAAAGTTTCACTTGCTCCCCTTAATTCTATCTGATTTTTTAGACCAAGCTCCTACTCATCTCTCAATTCAGTGAACTTTTTAAACGAAATCAAGCAACTTTTATGTAGCCCTTTCTACTTGCAGCTATTTGAAACACCCATCTCTTACAATAAGTAGTATGTAAACATTTACCAACTAGCTCTCTGGAAGAAGAAAAAATCAGTGCTTTCTAGTTTTGTTGTTTTGTTGTTGTTGTTGTTTCTTTTTTTTTTTTTTTGCTTTTTGGGTCACAGAGGTTACTCCTGGCTCTGCACTCAGAAATCACCCCTGGCAGTGCTCAGGGTACCATATGGGATACTGGGAATTGAACCCGGGGTGGCTACATGCAAGGCAAACGCACTACCTGCTGTGCTATTGCTCCAGCCCCAGTGTTTTCTAGTTTTAATGGAGTAAACAATCCCCACTCTGCCCAAAGTCATGCCTTTGTTGTGATGTCACCCAGCTTTCAAAATGCCTGAAAATATAATCATCTATTAAGTGTTACTATTAAGTCAGATTCATCACCTAAATTTGATCATAGAAATCTTCCAGTACTTTTCCCAACTCCCACTGGTTCTCAATAGAATCACCTAGGAGCTGATAAAACTGGTTGGTGTCTTATCCCAGTCAAGATTCTCACTGACCTGGGGTTTGACCAGGAAAGTTCCCCCCCCCCCCCCACCCCAACAACTCCAGTGTGCATCAAGGATTGAGAAACTGCTATTCTGGGAGGATACATCCTACTCCACACCCACTCATTTATCAAAAGTTTGACAACTCTGCTTGTTTATAAAATTTTATTTAAACTAATTTATTCAATAAATCATTGCTAATATATATTCATTTTATTTAGGTGACTGACATAATAGAAATTTATTCAAGTATAATTGTTAATTGTTTTATTAGCATCATCAATTTAATGATCTCTAAAAAACTTGTATGACTATCTTATTCATGGATTTTTATCACAAGCACTTGGTTGAATCTCAAATGATTTCAATATATTTGTCCCCAGGACAGCATTTTCAGCATTTCTCTCCGAGCAGACCCAAAATCAGGGAACTTCCTTCCACGCGGAACAACTTAACTCCCCTACCAGACCAAAAATGTAAGTATTACACACCTTCCTCAGCCTCTTTTACAAGTGTTAATGTGCCTCAACATGTTATTTTGGTTTTCAATGAATCTTCTTATAACATCCTCAGTGGGTTCTTGGAAGTGAAACAGAGACAAAAGGTCCTCAAAGAAAATAGTTTCCACCAGCTTTGGCTAGGATTATTTTTTTCTCCTCAGTGTCATAAAAAGACAATATGAAGCAAAATAACATTATTCAAGGACCTGCTATACTTTCATTTTTCAAGGGAACATCATGTGCTAAAACTTGAACAATAGAGGAGAACAGAATAAAGCCAGTCTTTTTTTCCTTTTCAATTTTTTATTAGTCAGTCACCATGGGGTACAGTTACAGAGTTATAAACTTTCGTGCTTGTGTTCCAGTCACACTATGATCGAGTACCCATTCCTCCACCAGTGCCCATTCTCCACCACCACTGATCCCAGTATCCCTCCCACCACCCCGACCTCATCCCCCCCCACCCATCCCACCCCACCTCTGTGGTAGGGCATTCCCTTATGTTCTATCTCTCCTTTTGGGTGTTGTGGTTTGCAATAAAAGTATTGAGTGGCCATTGTATTCGTATTGTCTACTTTAAGCACTCATCTCCCACCCTGAGAGGGTTCTCCAAACACACTTTACTTGGTGTTCCCTTCTCTATCTGAGCTACCTTGTCCCCCAGCATGTGAGATTGGCTTCCAAGCCGTGAAGCAAACTCCTGGTATTTATTTCTACTATTCTTGGGTGTTAGCCTCCCATTCTGTTACTTTATATTCCATAGATGAGTGCAATCTTTCTATGTCTGTTCCTCTCTTTCTGACTCATTTCGCTTAACATGATACTTTCCATGGAGTATCACTTGTATGAAAATTTCATGACTTCATCTTTTCTAACAGCTGCATAGTATTCCATTGTGTAGATGTACCAAAGTTTCTTTAACCAGTCATCTGTTCTCAGGCACTCAGGTTTTTTCCAGATTCTGGCTATTGTAAAGAGTGCTGCAATGAACAAACAAGTGCAGATGTATCTTTTCTTCTTGTAAAGTTCAATCAGTGCCTTGTATATCCTTGATATCAACCCCTTATCAGATGGGTATTGGATGAATATGTAAAGCCAGTCTTTAAAGCTTCACCCAACCTGGTAATATCTGTCTGGAAAGAAAACAATTGCTGGAGCTAGGGAGATACTCAAAGTGCTGAAGTGAATGCCTTTTTTTTATTATTATCTTCAACTAGTTGTACTCAAGCTTGAGTATACCTAAGTTAGCTGAGGTACTTGTTATGAGGTAGATTCCTGAACCACACTTTCTGGTATGTGTACATATCCTCGTAGCAATTCTTCGAGGCAGCCTTTATACTCCCATTTTATAGATGATAAAACAGTTCAGTGAGATAGCATGTGTTTCCCAGTATTACTTGGGTAATAAGTGGTGGGAGCTGGTGGGAGCAAAAACTCAGAAAATTAGGATAGCTGCCTCATGGAACAAATATTACGTGCTGGTTTCTAGTTTCCTTCCATCTTTCTTCCTATCAATCTCCCTACTTATAAGGTGCACACACACACGCCCACACACTCTCCACATCCTCTTAGTTGCAGATTAACTGATTTAGGAACCGGCTTGTTGGATGACGAGTTCCTTAACTTGTACTTTAGTTTCTTTTTGTTTGTTTGTTTGTTTGTTTTTTTGCTTTTTTGGGTCACACCTGGTGATGCACAGGAGTCACTCCTGGTTCATGCACTCAGGAATCACTCCTGGTGGTGCTCGGGGGACCATATGAGATGCTGGAGATCGTACCTGGGTCGGCCGCATGCAAGGCAAACACTCTACCTACTGTGCTATTGCTCCAGCCCCAGTACTTTAGCTTCTTAACTGTGCCTATCAGTCTGACAAGAATCCAGGGAGGATTAATGTCCTTTCTCAACTAAGCTCTATTTTTTAGATTAAATTTTTACTACATTATATAAATCACAGTTATTCACAAGGTGTTCATAGTGAATTTTAGGCATGCGTTGTTCTAGCACCAACCCCATCACCAGTGTCTTCTTCCCTCCAACATCCCAACACCCCACCAGCCCGCCTCCTCCACAGGCACATTGTTAAGTTTGGTTGTTGAGGTTTGGGTCTCTTGCTTTCAGTGTTGTTGACTCTGAAGTGTGAATATATGGCTATACCACTGTCTATACCATCAATATACCTTTGACTTCTGTCCCCCTTCCTATTCTCTTCTTCTTGCTATGTCTCTTGATTTCTTTCCCTCCCTGTATTTCTCTTTTCTATATTCTAAGGTCAAGGGTGATCAAGTTATTCCCCCCCTCAATATCTTGCATTCCCTCATCCAGTTATTCTCCGTGCTACAGAGAGTGAAATCATCCTGTGTTTGTCCTTCTGTATTACTTCACTCAATGTATCTTCCAGTTCCATTCAAGTTGCAACAAACTGCATGATTTTGTCATTCGGTCAGTTGCTTAGTATTCCATTATACATATATACCTCGTCTTCAAAATCTACTCACCTATCACTGGATACCATAAGATTCCATATCTTAGATATTGTAAGCAGTGCTACAATGAATAATTGTGTGATATTAATGTTTTTGTGTTCTGAGGATAGATATCCAGAGGTGGAATTGCTGGGTTGTGTAGCAGCTCAATTCTTACTTTACTTAGAAATTTCTATGCTGTTTACCATAGGGGGTTGAACCAGACAAAATTCTCATTAGCAATAAATGAGAGTTCTTCTTTTACCTCATGCCCCTAAGTTCTAGCTTGGAGGTGACCAGTCAAAAGTTAAAGAACTCTTTTTTTTATTATTATTTTTATTTTTTATTTTTATTAGTGAGACACCATGAGGTACAGTTGTAGACTTACAAATTTTTGTGCTTGGGGTTCAATTATACAATGATCAATCAAATACCCATCCCTCCACCAGTGCCCATTTCCCACCACCACGGATCCCAGTATCCCTCCTGTCCCCTGTCCGCCCAATCCCACCCTGCCTCTATGGCAGGGCATACCCTTTTGTTCTCTCTCTCCTTTTGGGTGTTTGTCACTCAATGCCTCTTTTGCAAACCACAACACCCAAAAGGAGTTAAAGAACTCTTTAAGTGAGAGCAGCGAACCCTGGGACTTTTACTACAACTTCTAATTTTGCAGATAAGGAAGCACAGAGGTGGAGAGATAAGTCACACAATGAGTTCAGAAGGAAAATAAAGCTCTTTATTCTTGATGAAGAATAAAGAGAGGGCTCTCGGAGAGCCCGGCAAGCTACCGAGAGTATTCGATATGCCAGACACAGTAACAACAAAGTCTCCAATGGAGACGTTACTGGGCCCGCTCGAGCAAATCGACGATCAACGGGAGGGGGCCTTTTATTCTTGATGAAACAGTTCCCTTGCCCTTCATTTTTTTTGTATAAAGGGAGAGTTTGGGGCTAGTGAATTCAATCACTAAATAAATGAATTCAAGCCTGATCCTAATTTGTTGTTGTTTGGGGATATTGTTGCTGTTTTGGTTTGGAGCCACAACTGGCTCTGTGCTTGGGGTAGCTAGCTCCCAGGGGTGCTAATTCCACATGCTTAGCCTTTGAACTATTTCGACAGCCTTTGCCTGACCCTCTTTATGTACAAATGTTGTCATAAAGATAACCAGTTAAGCAAGGAGTTATTTAGCATTGAATCCTCTTGAATCCTTGTAGGTGGAGCTTGGATAATTCAAAGAGGGAATTTTCTTTGGTAGCATCAGGGGATTCCCTTTTTAATTAAATTTTTAAAAAAGATAATTATCTTTGACCAACTTTAACTCTATTAACTAGCAGTGGAAAGTACAGTGCTTTTCCTAAAATAAACCTGAGAAAATTTTGAGGTATGCATAAAAGCCAAGTACAATATCTCCTGGCTGGTTTATAATCTTGCTAATTTGGCCATCAATGCTGCTGCACCCAAGGAAGAGAGAGCTTTGGGGGCCAGAATGATAGTACATCAGGCAGGACCCTTGCCTTGCATGCAGCCAACCCAGCTTAGATTCCCAGCAACCCATATGATCCCTGAGCTCTGACAGGAGTGGTAGTGAGCTCTGAGCACAGAACCATTAATAAGCCCTGAGCATTTCCCAGTATGTTCCGAGAGAGACAGAGAGAGAAAGAGAGACAGAGAGACAAACAGACAGAGACAGTGAGTGAGCTTTGCTAGGCATGCACAGCTCAATTATGTTTCGATCGGACTTGGCCCAGATTTGTTTATCCCTGACTTCAGGTGGCAAGCCTAAAAAGATGAACATTGGTTCAGCATTCATTTTCTCTCTGAGTCAAGAACAGTTTTCTTCAATTGTTGGTCGGTGAACCGGGCCAGTGCTGGTCTGTTGGTATATAAAGGTTGAAAACCACTGGTCTACCTCCTTGGTTCTAACTGCCAGTTCCGTAGGCGCAGTCCACAGCTTTAAAAATGTTGATGAGCAGTGCTCTAGAGAGTCTGGCTCTCCTGCGGTTCCAATGCTTAATAAATGACACATTTCTCCTGTCACCGTTCCACAGAAGACTCTAGGAGTTGTAAATCTTGAAAACCTCTCATGGAATTCTTTCTTCCCAGTTCTGTCAGGAGAACCCCTACGTACAAACCGAGTACTTCCTGCTATTCCAAGCCAACGGGGACACAGCACAGAAGCTGAAGAAGGTGAAAACTTTGCCAACCCTGCTAATGATGAAAATTAACTGTGGGTTGCGGACTGCAAAAATGGAGATCATATATATGTATGTATATGATATATATACATATATAGGTATACATATATATTTTAATTGTCTGGATAGGATGAATCCAGTTTGTAAGAACAGAGACTAATTTAGCAAATAGCATTCTATAAGCCATTCACAGTTTTATATCTGAAAATTCTCTACTCAAAATAAAGGTGTTTCCCAAATAAGTGTGTAGAATCTTTGACTGTGCATTCAATATGTCAATGAGTTTCTGTGACCTCCCCGCATACCAAATCAAATCTAAGTATGAAGTCATCAGGGATACTATGTTACATAGTTACCTTCTTTTGCTGCATGCTTGCTGTTTGCTTTTATGTTTGTTAGTTCTTTTGTAACTTGATGTTTAAAATGTACGCTTTTGCTGAATAAAAAGCAAAAAAGAACACATTTCAAGCTTGTTCTTCATGTTTATTACAATTTTACCTTAGACTTAAAACATTTATTTTAGATCAAGTAAAAAATTCCTTTCATCAGTAGTAGCTACAGTTTTGACTGTCCAATCTTCTAAAAATAGTTCTTAATGTCATCAACTTCTGGAAATAATCCAAATTATTCTACAACATATAAATATTCTTAGTTATTTGATTATTTCTACCTCATATCTTTTTCAGAAATGATTTCTTTTTCCAGGAATGAGAAGATCATTGGAGTTGGAAAGATCTACATCCTGACCTAACAGAATGAAATAGGCATTTATCACACATTCCTCAAATTCTCTACATTTTTAATAACTTTTTCTGCTTCAAATAATGCTCTCTGTCTATTCAAGACATTCCAAGTTTATGACTAAGCAGAGTTTGAAAAAAAAGTCTACTAATTAGAGATCTCCTTACTAATATTTTTTGATGGATTGACTCAGAGTCTGAGCCATAAGAGATCATAGACATTCCTTGTTATTTTGCGTCTGCATGTTATTTTGTAAATATCTCAAGTTTAACATGCATCATTTCCTATAAGTATGTTTTGTTTAGATCATGAAACTCTGCCCTTAATAAGATAGATGTTCCACAGAGACTAAATCTTTGGGGGGGTTTTTTGTTTGCTTGCTTGGGTGTTTTGTTTTGTTTTGTTTTGCTTTGCTTTTTGGGTCACACCTGGTGATATTCAGGGGTTACTTCTGGCTCTGAACTCAGGAATTACTCCTGGTGGTGCTCGGGAGACCATACAGGATGCTGGGAATCGAACCCAGGTTAGCCACGTGCAAGGCAAACGCCCTACCTGCTGTGCATTCGCTCCAGCCCGAAGGGGCTAAATATTTGTACTTCTAGAAATATATATAGGACCTGACAAAGTAAGCATGCAATCATTTTATCACTTTCAAGAAACAAGGAAAGATAGAAGTAGAGAGGGAGTTTGCAAAGTGAGAGGCACAGAATGGGGTCATGAAAGAACGTATTAGTCCACATTCCCATGAGAACAATAACTAAATCAGTAATTATAAAAGAGAAAGTCTTTGGCTCAACCTCCCAAGTTAAACAGTAAAGGAAAATTCTGGTTTAAATAAATTTCTCAAGACTTCATTCTGAAGGGTTTTCTTTTCTGTTTCAGTGTTTAGACTTTTCTGTGTCTGGGACAGGAAAGATAGTACAGTGGGCAGGGCACTTACCTTGCTCACAGCTAAGCCAGGTTCAATTCTTGACACTATGTAGGGTACCCTGAGCACTGGCAGGAATGACCTTTAGGCACAAAGTTAGGAATAAGGCCTGAACACTTCCAGGTGTGGCCCAAAAACCAAAAGCAAAAAAAAAAAAAAATGAAGCAGAAGAAAAGGAAAAGTATCCCTTGTATCAAATTGTTCACTTGAGTTGCCTGGTACGCAACTTAATTTAGTCAGAATTGTTCAGTCTCTGCTTCAATAATAAACAACTCCCACATCTCATTGACTAATACAACTTTCTTCTTAGTTACAGCCCTATGTTAGTAAAACTTGCTGATACAGATTCTACTTCAGTATATACTTCCTTAGGGAACACAACAGAGGGAATCCAATGTTTTTAGCACTTACTCTGAACTTTCTATATGCCAAATCAAGTCACAAGGACAGGAACATCTTCAAAGGCAGTGGAAAAATGGAACCTTCCTTTCCATTTTCTGAAAGAGAAATAGGACTATTTTGAAATTATCTGAAAGGTCTTCACTGTGATTATAGCTTAGGCCCTAAATGTTTATTTAAGAATATTGGTGTGAAAAAAAAAAAGAATATTGGTGTGAAAACACCCAAAAGGAGAGAGAGAACAAAGGCGGGGGGAGGGAGGGGGGATGGGGGGGAAGGGATACTGGGATCAGTGGTGATGGAAAATCGGCACTGGTAGAGGGATGGGTATCGATCATTGTATAATTGAAGCCCAAGCACAAAAATTTGTAAGTCTACAACTGTACCTCATGGTGTTTCACTAATAAAATTTATTTATTTATTTATTTTTTTATTTAGTTGAAATAAATTGATTTTATTTGGAGGATTTTTAGGTGTGGAAGGAGAGAGAGTGAGAGAATAACGTACTCAAGAGAGAACACGGGCTTCCCAAGGGTGGAGAGATTCCCTACACACATCCTAGCGTTAGACACGAAACCATGAAAGTACACATCTCAAGAGGGGAGATGCGAGTGACACATGTAATCAGACCACATGTGCTCGGCCACGTGGGCACAAGCAGCACATGAGCTCAGGCAGCATATGTGCCTCACTAATAAAATTTTTTAAAAAAAGAATATTGGTGTGGGGGGCTGGAGCGATAGCATAGCGGGTAGGGCATTTGCCTTGCACGTGACCAACCCAGGTCCAATTCCCAGCATCCCATATGGTCCCCTGAGCACTACCAGGAGTAATTCTTGAGTAAAGAGCTAGGAGTAACCCCTGTGCATTGCCAGGTGTGACCCAAAAAGCAAAATAAAATAAAATAAAATAAAAATTAAAAAATATTGGTGTGGGATTGAAAAGAGAGGACAGGGTGTAAGGCATATGCCCAATCCCGGTTTGATCCCTGTTGTCACTTGTTCTAATGGCAACCACTGAGTATAGTCCTAGAAACCTTAGAACTGTTGTTTTTTTACCACTTAGGTATGGCCCTAGTCATCCCCAGACATGGTTGGGGTGCCCTAATGGTCCCTGGCAGCACAGGATCCAAGCAGTGCTGCATTCTTGGGAACTTGCATTGAATTATCTGGCCCTGTCAACTGAGAATTGCTGGCATAGAGCCTCTGAGCACCTCTTGGAAAGCTTTCCTCACAAAAAGCAAAGAATTCTGGCTTTCACTCCCCGCTGAGTAGATAGCTGAAAGAGCACAACTGAAAAAAAAAGAAGTCTGGCTATAGAATAAACCATCATCCACAGCCGGCACTTACACACACACACACACACACACACACACACACACACACACACACACACACACACACCCTACAGAAAGTTGGGTCTTTCTATTCAAACTGATGACTATAATCTTTTTTTTTTTTTAATTTTTTTTTATTTATTGAATCACCTTGGGAAAGGTTACAAAGCTTTCAGGTTTAGGTCTCAGTCATGCAAATATCAAACACATTTCCCTTTACCAATACTTTTTTTTTTACCATGAAGAACCCCAATAAAACCCCACCCCCCACCCCTCCCAGTCCCTGTGGGGCAGATGAATTCTAGTTAACACTCTATCTGCTTTGATTAGATTCATTGTTTCAATAAAAGATTCACCAATATAATTTAGAGTTTACCCCCCCCCCCCAAATCAGACATGCTGAAAAAGCATTGTGACGTGATTTGCTTTCTACAGCTGGGTTCAAGAATTAAATGTTGGTTTTGGATTTCTGCTATTTTACTTATTGACCCTGGAAGTATTTATACTGAAAGTCAGATAGTTAAGAAATTGGTTTCTGTGCTCTGGAGTCATGGCCGTGCTGGAGAGCCGCTAGTGGGGGGCAACTGGTGGCCTCGGTAGGGCGTGAAGGGCGGACCGAAACGCCCCCTTCCCATGAGGTTTTAGTCGCCCCCCCACTCCCCCGGCTCATACCTGCTGTCCACAAGGCTCCCATGCGGCCGCCATCTTTCTTTCCAGAGAGGAGAAGGCGACTGGGGCAACACCCTTTCCCCTCCGGACAGACATGATGGCCTGGATTAACGCATAGTCCTTTCACTTTTCTGCTCCAAGCTGCCGGGTTCTGCATTAAGTCCCTGTGCTTCTGGGGCTGTGGCCGTGCTGGAGAGCCGCTCGCGGGGGGCAACTGGTGACCTCGGTAGGGCGTGAAGGACGGACCGGAACGCCCCCCTTCCCGTGAGGTTTTGATGACTATAATCTTTTTCTGCTCTACAGAAGTAATCTGTAATGAGTAATCTGCTCATTATCACTTCTTCAAATAAAGTGCTGTTCTTTTACCACCTGGTATATAGTTGCTTGATTAGGCTCAACTCAACCTCAGCCAATATTTCAATGGGCTCCTCAGCCAATTTTTCAATGGGCAAGTCAGATATTAGACAGCTATCAATTTGTGCCCAACAACTCCCAAAAATGTCAAGCAGCTTTTTACCTTAAATGATTTTTTTCTTATTTTGCCATTTGTATGGCCTTTCATTATGAAAGAGGTTTTTTCCACATATATAAATCACGTGAGCAGAGTGACAGCACAGCAGGTAGGGTGTTTGCCTTGCACATGACTAACCTGGGTTCGATTCCTCAGTCCCTCTCGGAGAGCCCGGCAAGCTACAGAGAGTATCCTGCCCACATGGCAGCGCCTGGCAAGCTCCCCGTGGCATATTAAATATGCCAAAAACAGTAAAAACAAGTCTCACAATGGAGACGTTCCTGGTGCCCACTCGAGCAAATCGATGAACAACTGGAGGATAGTGCTACAGTAGACAGTGCTATATAAATCATGTCTCTGCATACTTTTCCCCCCTTTTTGGGTCTATATCAATGGTATTCAAGGGGTTCAGCTCTTAGATCTCACTCCCAGCGAACTCAGGGTACTTTAAGGTGTCTGGGACTAAACATAGTTCTCCCTTATGCAAAGCATGCCCTCTAATCCTTTGTTTTGTCTCTCTGGGCT